CCCAGAGTGTCACAGCATCACTGACCCCTGGGGTCTCAGCTGTAACCGGAGGCAAAAATGGAGCTATGTTTTAGCATGCCATCGCAGGCCTGTAGGCGAGAAGTCTAGGCCTAATCATAATTTAATTGTGAATTTATTTTCCCCCCAAATTATGTGGACTGGCTCCTGACAACCCGGCGCTCATTACCCACTGTGAAGGCTTTCTGAGATATCTGCTGCTCTGTCTGCACCAGGATTTGGCATCTCAGCACCCAGCGTGGTACTTGGGCTGAGCTGAGGGCTCGACAAAGATTTGTTGAATGACTACATCATGGCCCACTCTGCCCGAAGGCTGGGGAAACATTGAGTGTTTCCTCAGTGTCCCCTCCAGAGCATCTGGTGGCCCATTTTTAGGTCTGAAAGTCACACACGGCCAAGAAAGAGAAGCTGCTAAGGTGACACCTCTCTCTGTGCACCCACACGATCCACACAGAGGTTACAGGAGCTCGTAGAACATAAGCCTCTCAGGTGTCTGTCTCGCTCTCCTCCGCAGAAGGGACAGTGGCGTCAGATAGAGGTTGGGGCTGCACGACCTGCTGGTCCTTGGACGTCACTGTGGTGTGGAGTCGTTTAAACTGCTCCCTGCTCAGGAGACAGGGCAGAAGGAGTGATGCTGAAAGGTTCTGGTCAGCCACACACGTGGCCTCTGCAGGGCCCTGGAGCGCTTGGGACATGGAAGGGGACACCGTAAAGTTAACCCTTAGCGGGCCAGTGTGGAGAAAGGCAAAGTCAGGAGAAAGGAACAGTACGGCCCCTTGAGGGCACCTGAGGCGTCAGTGAGGACAGCAGGTTCTCAGAAGGGGCAGGCAGGCTGGGAGCCGGATGGGTCCTGAAGGTGACATCCGGTCAGGCCTGTGCAGGGGAAGCTGGATTTCAGGCCACTGAGCTGTCTGACGGCCGAGGGGTGTGGTGTGGACATCCCAGGGGGAGGACCTTGGGCAAGTTACGGTGCTTTTCTGGCTTCAGTTCTACCGTCTGGGAAATGGTACACTGCTGTCCTCCTGCAGAACTGGACAGGAGCAGACAAGAAAGCAACATAAGATGCTCAGTGCAGCTCAGGGCACCAAGTGAAACTCAAAACGCTCCCCTTGGGGAGGACAGCAATCATCTGGCTTCCCAGTGGTCATAGGAGGGTAATTATCGAGCAGATTTGATCACTCTGTTAGCGCTGACAAACCTGCCCCACCGCTTACGTTTGTAAACAGGCACATTCACTTTCCTCAGTGCTGCGGTGGCTGAGGTGGTGGAGTTACGTGACCCAACTCTCCGGCCACCCTTGACCCGTTGGTCAATAAAGCTAAACAGCCTTTCACAGAGAAAGGGCTTTTGTTAGCTGGTCCCTTGGAGAAAAAGTGTGCCGACCCCACCCTCACAGGCTAGCACACCACCAGCAGCCTCCCAGTCGGTGCTGAGGACAGGGATTCGGAGAGCAGTCAAGGCCTGAAGTCTGAACTCCGACCTTTGACCTCTGACCCCTGACCCTTACCTCCTCTGGACTGGTTTCACAGGCAAAACAGGAGCCACACACACAGGGGGTGCTGAGTGGGGTGATGTCTGCACTGGGCCCTTCACAGTCACTGACAGCAGGCACACTCTAAAAAGTAGTGTTTATTAACAGTTATTAAATGTCCAGCTGCCGGAAGACACAAAGAAGCCCCCAGCTGAGGATCACTGCTGCATCCAGCTCTCTTTAAAGAACACCCAGCTGGTAGAGCTGCCCAAAGTCAGAAAAAGGTGTGAATGTCAAGGGTGTCAAAGACGGCTCTCCCATGCAACACACCAGAAACCTGCTTCCCGTCCCCGTTCTGTTAGGGAGGAAGATGAGACTGTGGAGCAGGGCCGAGGTGAAGGCTGTGCAGTACTTAGGAGGCGCTCAGTGTTTGTTGTCTGGTCTGCCTAGAAAGGTAACTTGGCAGTCAGGGCCACTTCCGGGCTCTCTAATGAGAAGACCACAGTTAGCCAGAAAGCAACATTATTTCCGCTTGCAGGATTTTAGGGTATTTGTGAGTAAACTGGCACAATAAAGATGAGAGGAGACGCAGAACAGAGACCACGGCACGGGAGGATTCCTGGGGGGAACAGATGCGCACAGAGAAATGTTTAAAAACAAAGCCAGGCGCGGAAGGTCATGTGTGGGCCCAAAATAACCAGGGACACAGAGCAGACGGATGTGAGTGGCGCATCCTGATGGAAACGGGGCCAGGCTGATAAACCGAGAGACTGTCCCCGTGCTGGGCGCCCAGCTCCTGCTCACCGGGCCTCCGTTCGAAGAGTGACAAGGGTTGCATTAGCATCTCCAGGGCTCGTGTTGCTGCTGCTCCTGGCTGTGCTGCTTTCATCCCAAATTGCTAAAATCTTGGAAACCACTGCACTTCCCGGGAGCACGCTCTGGAGTGCAGATCGGAAGCTATTTTTTCCCCCAGACATTTACTTCATGGCTCTAGTTTCTGCAGCAGGTGTTGGTGGAGAGAGAAAGGCACCTTATCTGCAAAGTCACGATTCCAGGAATCCATGCGGCTGCCATGGGCGAGGGCAGAAGGAAGCTTTTGTAGCTTCTGGGAGGTGCAGGGGGAAGGTTGGGGGTTCGGAGGGTCTGCGGGTGCTCTGTGATATTTCCGCATGACTCCCCGAGGAAAGGTTACCCGAAGCTTCTCAGACCCACTCGTGGGACAGAAGGAAATTGTCTTTGTAAAGGGCCAGTTTGGCTGCAAAGAACAGGAACTCAGACTGGTGGAAGCAGAGGGAACACAAACGGGGAAGAAAAGCCGGTCTTGGCTGTGCACGCCTGACTTCAGCTTTGCTCGGCCTCTGATTCTCCAGTCCTCCTCCGAACTTCCGCTCAGCTTGTCAGCCAGGGAGATTTCTGTTGTTTGAAACCAAGGCAGCTGGAAAGAGAGGAGGGGGCCTAGTGGGACCCAAAAGGGGGCCCTGAAACCGACCTGCACAAGGACAGGCACTAGGAACCAGGATGTCACTGGCCGTCAAGATCACTTTCTCCTTCTGTTTCAGTTGGGATTGTAGAACGCGTCACATAAGGGAGAGCCAGGGTGGGCAATGAGCAGACACAAGGCAGGTAGAGACTTGACGAGTGCCAGAGCACCAGGCTGGCTGTGACGCCACCGTGTGGACCTGATCTGGCCTGCTGGGTGATAAGGGTGTGCTGAGCTGAGAGAAGGTACCAGCCAAGGCCTCTGTAGGCCAGTTTCTCAACCTTGCTGCCACTGACATTGAAGACGAAACAATCTTTTGTTCTGGGGAGCCGTTCTATGCGTTATAGGATATTCAGCAGGATCCTGGCCCCTACCCACGAGATGACAGTAGAATCCTCCTGTCCTCACTGTGACCATCAAAACGATGTCCAGATACTGTCAAGTGTCTCTTAGGGTGGCAGGAAGTGAGGCCACCCTAAATCACCCAGCCCCAGCCGTGCCAGCCTAGAGAGTAAAAGTGCACAGCTGGACCCATGGAATCATGAGAAATAGTGTTTGCTATTTTCAGTCCTGAAGTTTTGGGCAGTTTGTTCTCCAGCACAAACACACCCGACAACAGTGGCTTACATAGGGAGGGACTTATCTGTCCTCTCTACAAAGACCAGGGTCTGGAGCTCAGAGATGCTGCTGGGCCCCACCCAAACCCTCTCGTCCGTCATCTGTGGCAGCTGGGTTTTGGTCTCCTGCTTGGCGCCTGATGATCCCCAGAGCAGCTGTTCTTGCTCTCAGTCTGAGCTCCCGGGGTTGATTAAAAAAAAAAAAAAAAAAAAAAAAAAAAAGACCAGGCAGAATGGTAAAGGGTGGAATCGTCCTCCTGGTGAAACTCACCTTCTTATCCCGGAAGGGAAGCCCTTCACGTATGTGTCAGTGCTCTGATCTGTACAACACAGCCTGTCCCAGCTGCAAGGGAGGCCGGAAAACTAGGCATTTAGTGTCCAGCCTACGCGGTAGAGGAAAGCTGTGCACGGCCACGACTGCGCAGCCCATGTCTACTCGCAGTGTCTGGTTCGTACCTGCAGCAATCGCTGCACCGTGTCTCTGGGTTCTGGGGTTCCCAGCCTCCGCTCCCTGTGCATCTATTCCAGACTTCTCTTTCTGCAGACTGACTCTGCTTCTCTGAACATCGGAGGAAACGGCCACCCCACCTGGAAGCACACTGAGCTCTCAGCTTCGGCCCATTAAAGACCTCGGTAGTGTCCCAGGGTCCCACCTTTAAATACCAAGGGCAGAGATGCTGATTGGATCAACAAGAATCAGGAGGGAAATCTGATTGGTCTGGTATGATTGGGTATTTACTATCCAGCCAATAGGCTGTAGCCACGGGGTGTTGTGTGGGCAAAGGCCTGTAGGGATGCTGCTCCGGGGAGGGAGGACGCAAAGACCTCCCCGGCTCAAGGCATGAAGAGGATAAATTGCCACCGTGGGTTGGCATGCTGATATGATAAACATTAATGTGTCCTTTGAAAGACCTAAAACACAGTGGAGTCATAAGGCGTTACATTTATCTATGCAAATTCAAATAAACAAATCCCACGGACAAACGATGTATTTTTCACACAATTTGATTCCCAAACACGCTTCAGGTTTTTGAATTGCTGCTTAACCAAGCAATCTGGCCTGGTGCTGGAGAGGAACTTGCTGTTTCAGACATTGGGGATAAGGCGCAGCCGAAATTTCTGAGATTTTCAGGAGATTTTTTTTTTTTTTTTTGGTACCGGGGGTCGAACTTGGGTCCTCACACTTGCAAGCCAGGCGGCGGAACCACTGAGCTAAATCCCCAGCCCGAGATTTTTAAAGGTTAAATAAAGCTCATCTCTCTCATTGACTTTCACACCAACGCGATATAAGATTTGCCTTCCAAGAGTTTCTTTCTTTCCCCCGAGTTTTAATCGATATGAAGAATACACTTGGTTTTAACATACAAGAATATTTTTATTGTGGATTTAAGAAAAACCCAAAAACTCAGCTGGACTCGTGACTTCTGGCTCTACCCTGCCAGAGAAGACAGGTGGTGAGAGAGGAGGCAGGGTGTGGGAGAAGGGGGGCGTGAGGCAAACCCCCGGCGAGGGGGCGTGTCCTCCCGGGCTGTGCGCTCTTTGGTGACGGGACACTTGTGGCCTGGGTCTGCAGTGACTGCGCCATCTTGGTGTGGCAGAATGGACAGTAGGACACAGAACTAGAAAATTGGTGTTCAACCCCCAGCTGCCGAATCCACTAGCTGTGTGACCTCAGGCAGGCCAGTTAGCCCCCCCGCCGGCCTCAGTCTCCTCATCCGTAAAATGGGCTCAGGGAAGGATTGACAGAGAAGCCTTGTGAAAACTGCGGAGCGCCACAGAAACATCAGTCATATCACAGAAGCAGTAAAGCTGATTGGCGTCTAAATTTATTATAATACAGTAAACTTAGATACAAAGCCGCTCTACCACGGCCCCAGAGCCCGGAGTTCCCCCCTGCCTTGGAGCTGCAGGGCAGGTCTGAGGTGTTCCCCACTGGGGTCTTGTGGGGCTCCTTGGGGCTGTGTTGTTTGGGTCCAACTTGACCCAAATGAGGACTACATAAGGTAGCGGCTACCAGGCGGGGAGCCTGGGTTGTAAACAGTCTCTTCACAGCCTGAGTGGGTACACAACGATTGGTATGTGTGAGAGAAACCCTCTCCCCCACACCCGGAAGGCCACACTGTGACGACGCCCGTAGAGACAACACCCGGTGACAAGCGTTAAAGTCCTAGAGTCTCTTAGGATTCCGACAGCGAGAGTCAAACTGACTCAGAGCTATCGCTGGAGGCCAGGCAGGGTGAGGTCGTCTTAGTTCCTCCCTCCAGGCTTAGCAAACGAAAGACTCTGGCTGTATTTGGTGGGCGTTTCCTTCCTTGTCTCTTTTTCTTGGTCCATCTTTAGGGTGGCTTTCTTGGCTCCAACCTTAAATGAGCAAGAGGCAACAAAAATCAGACTCTGTGATTGCAGGAAGATCCCAAAACGTGCCTCCCCCAAAGTCATGTTTGTTGTTTAAAAAGATAAAAAGATACAGAGGACAGTAAGATGACTGACTCAACATTATCAGGCGGTACCGTTTGGGGCACACCATGGGGTACCTAGGTGCTGCTTTCCCTGTCTGTATCTTCGTGAGTCCGTGCTGTGAGGCCGGGGCCTCTGTGTGACTAGCACCGCGGTGGACTTTTTCCACTCGCTGTCCCTGAGTTGGAGGTGTCGTGTTTCCGATGGCTTAGGAGAAAATGCGAGCTGTGGGTGGGAATCCGTCTGACCCCTCTCTGAGGGTACATCCTGGCGGCCTCACGTCCTGCCCTACTCCAGGTCAGGGGTGCTTGGTCATTTGCAGCAGCTGGGCTTTCTGGACAGTCCCTCCCAGGCCTGGTTATGGGCTGAGATGCTGTTCATGCCCTTCCTGTCACACGGCTGGAGAGAGAGGCCAGCAGAGGTGTGCAGAAGCTCAGGGAGATGTCTGGGATTCCCAGACCATCAGTTCTCTTCCCTGCCACGAACAGGGCACTTGTTTCTGTGTCTTTAAGCCCCAGAATCCCCACTCCCCCTGTTCTGTGCATACTCTAGACACTACTGTCACTTCTGTCTGTGTTTCTGTCCAATTGGCTTTAAGTCGCTCGTTTTTGACTCCAACCTACAGGACACAGACACAGACAGATAGACAGACAGACAGACAGACAGACAGACACACACACACACACACACACACACACACACACGGGGCAGGCCGGGGGGGGAGCGCC